CATACACAGTTAAGTAACTTGTCTGATAAAATTGCTTTTTTATTTTTGAAAATGTTAATAATGGGTACTAGAAAATTTTAGTTAAAAAATATGCTAGATGTTATTAATCAAACAAGCAAGTTTGTAATGGCTTTCAAATGATTTAGTTATTTTTTTCAATTAAAAAACTTTGCTATAAATTACATGCACAAACCATATACATTCAGCACTGTAAAATGCTGAAGGTCTTGTATGTGCCACAATGTGAGATAAAACATTTCTGCTTTGTATGAAGAGAGCGAGTTACTCTCGGAGTACACATGAGCTGACAACGGGGCAGTTTGGAGAGTATGTGGAAGTTTATCTATCATCTGAGAGATGAACAATCATAGCAGGTATAATGATAATAATAGCTGCCGACATTTACACAATTAACACCTTCTAGACAGAGCGGTTTTTCAAAGTTGCCAGATTTAGAGGCCGGATGCTGGCACCCTGTAGGCACCAGTTCTAGTCACACCAGCTCCACCTCCGTTCCAGCTCCCTGCTTAGGGCTTACAAAAGCAGCTGCGGATGACCCCATGTCCATGTGGGAGAGCCCCTGGCTCTCAGCTTTGGACTGGACCACCTCTGGCTGTTGCTGCCACTTGGGATATGAGCCAGCTCATCAAAGATTTCACTTTGTTTCTCCCTTTCTTTGTAACTTTTTCAAGTAATAAATAAATCTTAAAATACTAGATGTCAAATTTAATGTTCTCATCTATCTTACGTCCAAAAACAATATGACCATTTTACAGGTAAGGAAACTGAGCCTGTAGCCACCAAGAAGTAGATTTTAAGTAGATTTCGCAAGCATGTCTGTTCACTTCTTTGTACAGAATCCATCTGGGTCCTTGTAACTGAACACTTTTATAAGAATCTATCTAGTAGGCTTTTAAAAATATTTCAAAGCATTTAAGTATTTGTTTTCTCTCCAACAAACTCGATTTGTTTTATCACATCTTGCTTTTAAATGTTTGATGAATTATCTTTCCTGCTTAATTATTCATTCTGAAGGCATCTACCTATTTCCCTAGAGGGAGGGGAATTAGAAGAAAAGGGTGAGCAAGAGAATAAGAAAATGAAATTAGGCAGATCTTTCTAAGAATCAATCTGTCCAGGTATAAGGCAGCATGCAGAAAACACAACAGAATAAACTCTGTTTTACTTATAAAATGTTCAAGGCCTAGAGTGATAGTCTAGTGACTAAATCCTTGCCCTGCATCTGCCAGGATCACATATGTACACAGGTTCATGTCTTGGCTGTTCCATTGCCAATCCAGTTCCCTTGGAACTGAACTGCAGTAGAGACCTGGGAAAAGCAGCAGAAGATGGCCCAAAGCCTTGGGACACTGCACCCACCTGCGAAACCAGATGGAAGCTCCTGACTCCCACCGTGGATTGGCTCAGTTCTGGCCTTTGCAGCTACTTGGGGAGTGACCAGTAAATGGAAGATCTTTCTTCCAGTCTCCTTATTTCTGTAAATCTGTCTTTCCAATAAAAATAAATAAATCTTCTTAAAAATTTCATTACCACTTGTATTACGGAGCCATATAAATCATTAGTGATGGTAAAGGTAAGACCGTTATTACTATTAAACAGTATGTATATGTGAGGCACTATATTAAGCAGTATTCTTCATTTTGGCAATTCATTCCAATTCCACTCACTATCATGAATTTGAAGAGCTGAAATCAAAGGCAGAGGAGGAGGAAATATGCTCAAAGTTGACTAATAAGCTAGGCCTTCAATTCTAAATGAGTTTTAGAGTAAAACCCTGGTCCCATGTGGCCTTGCAGCTAGAGAGATGTTTAAAAAAAAGAGAAACAGAACAAAAACAGGAATTTTAAGTTTTAATGTCATCAAATAAAACTGTTACAGAAGAATCTCTCCCAAATCAAATTAATCTCCCACCAATTGGTTGAATGAAAAACTGACTAAAATATACTGGGCCTTGCAAAAGTGTTAAGAGGAAAAAGCATATCACATTTGAATCCTTTGTATGGGCCCTTACTACATATAGCCTCAGGGGTGCTGGTACAGCTGGAGCATCACTGTAGGAAGAACAGAGGATTCAGTGAGATGCTCAAAGGTGAAAATGCAGAGATAGAAATGGAAACGCCCTTACCTATGTTAGTGATTGCTTGTGCAAAAGGCACCGTGAATCCGAAGGAGCTATTCTGAATGCTCACATTTTTTTATGAGCAATCTTGCTCAAAGTAGGGCTGACAATAGCTGCTTTTAGTCCCCAAAAGACTTTAACACCCTAAAAATTGTTTTAATACACTGGAAGAGGGCTTGCCATTGCTAATCTCAAACCTGATCTGTTAAGTATAAAAACTCTGCTTTAAATCCAAGTAAGGCTTAAATAAGAACCAAACAATTTTCCCAATACTATGGTCAAGCTATATACAACCTTCTATCCCTAGTTAGCAAGAATAAAACAAAAGAGTTTTCTCAAAAGGCCACCCAGGTTTAAAGCTTCTGCATACCTGAAGGCTAAGCTCATTGTGCCTTTCAGCATTCAGCCATGAGTACTTTTGCCCCATTTAGCCACATTTAGAGACAGTTTGTTAGAAGGAGAACGAAAAGCTGTAGCAATTTTAAATGAATGCAGAGCAAGGGGCTGCTAGAGAAATACACCAAAATATTGTTACCGTCATTATATCTAAAAATGCAATTAAACTTACTGGCAGAGGCAAATGAGTAGAGTGTTACTAAATCATGTATAACAGAGGCCACCCAGTCTTCCATGTAGCATTGGCTAGGAAATAATGAGGAAGCTGCACCCTGACCCAAAACACCAGCATGCAGACATACAGCTCATTAATGACATGGTGCTTTAAGATTATAGTAGGCTATTATATTGATTAATGTAATACATATAATAGACTGCTTATTAAACTCTATGAAAGAGCTGATTTATATTTTTTGGTAAATTCTAGTTGCCATGATGTCACAGTGCAATTCATCTCTCTCCTATTTGTGATGATGCTGTTGGAACCAAACCTGCTTTGCTGCCAGTATTATAAAGAAACAGCACTTAGAGTTACATATGGTGCATAAGACTACATAAGATACTGAAAAATACATTACTTGTTTATGTGTTTACTAGACTATACTTTTTCATTATTTGTTTAGATACTACTTGGCTTATTGATATAAAAACAGTTTTAATGGGAAGCAGTATGTGATCTTATACTGGTAACAACCTCATATATCTTGTTCTCTCTCTTTTGCTGCATTACAAACTATGTCATTATTGTCATATATCATCTAAGTTATATAAGTACACTGCATATGTTCACAAGCAAAGAAATTGCCTATGATACTTCTCACAGTACACATTTTTTAAGATTTAATTTATTTTTATTGGAAAGGCAAACGGAGTATATTCCTATCATCATTATTATTATTTATTCTTCTTTAAATCTGTATTTCAGTTACATTCCACAACAGGAGCTGTTCTGCCTTAAACACATCATGGATAATTGTGACTTATGGGTTGTTCAGGTTATTCATAAACAAAGAGCCATGAATATATTAACACTAACAGTCCTCGATATTTTAAGGGAGACAAGATCCTTCATTAAACCTATTTTTTTCCAATCTAACTTGTCAAACCTGCTTTGTCCAGGAACAATTGTGAACAGATGCATTACTGTGCATACTGAAAGGTACAAAAACGAAGAAATCAAAGGTTCATACTTCAATTTTATTGCTATGCAGTGTTACTTGAGTTTGCAATAATGTAAATAATGCTTGATGGATTATTATGAAATTAAAACTGGAACCTGTGTCATGGCATACTACTTTCCACTTACAATATTCTGATGTATAATTTATTTAGTGCTTAATAACTCATCATAATGCAAGAAATATTAGATTTTCTAAATGCATTATTTTTCTGATCTTAAGTTTAATTCTTAAGAGAAAAGCAATTCCAACAAATCAAGACAGTTTTTACTTATGTGTTCTATTTCGGTATCCACTCTTAGAAAAGGGACTGAGGCAGATTGAGAGAGTAAAAATTGTCCAATATCTTCGAATAGTTGAAAGATGGAATAATTAAGACAACAACATATAAGCAAAATTATTCCCAGTGCTTCTATGGATTTATTCTATAGCACCTAGTTCTTCTGACTTACTACTTATCATTTTTTTATCATTTCAATTTATGAAACATTTCAGAAGTTCCCAGGGTAATTTTGTTCAGTTAACCAAAGTATCTTTATTACATCTAATAGAAGGTCTGTCAGAACTTAATAATTGTGTTATTGATGGATTAGTGAAGAAGGCATATGCATATCTGTGATACATCTGTGACAATCAATTACAATGTAAATTTGGCTTAATATAAGATTGGGCATGTTTTAATAGTCAATCAGTTAAGGCTGGAAATTATTCCTAAGATGGTTAAGTAGAGGTGAGACTGAAAATAAGCATGGTCTGTTCAACAGAAGTTGTACTCTTGTGTCCTGAGTTGGACTTTCGATTTGAATTGTTGGCCAACCTTGAGATTTTATTATAATACACTTTCAAAACTGGGTCACCATTCCAACTACAACTACTAGGACATTATCCTGTGCTGAAATTTACAGAAAACTTTTCCAAGAAAGACAGGAAATGTTTCTCTTAGCTTTATTTCTACTCTCACAGGCTTTCTTTTTGGATACAAATGCATCAACCTTGCTTGAGTTGATTAAAGGTACATCCCTCATTGTGTACCATTTTCTCTTTTCCATTCACTATGCACTTTTTTTCACAATACAACACCAAAATATTGACATAATAAATCCAAAATGGCATTTTTTGCTAATGAAGGTTTAAACATTTTAGCCACAGAGTAGGAGAAAACAATGCCACCAGGTATTGATAAAGTTCACTTCCTCTCATATCACTGCATTTAATGATAGAAAATTAGCTCTATACTTCCTGAAAGCAGTGTCTGGTTTTAATCACGGAGGACATCAGCTACTTACCACAAAAGAATAATAAATCTTGAATCCAGGTTTAGCCACAAAGTAGTCATCAGACTTGAATGTGATTTTAATCTGGTTTGTTCTTGAGGTTATCCTTGGAGGAACTTCCTTGTGTCCACACCATCGCCCTCTAATAACAGTACTGGTTTCAGATACGTCTTCAACTTCCACAAAATCATACCTAGAATATATTGGGCAGTAATGGTCATGCTTTGATTTCAGTAGCTTTTGAAACTTGTACTTTCATTCAAAAATTAAAATGTAATTTCTCATTAACCTACTAGCTGAAGAAAAATTGCAACATATAGAATTATTTTTTAAACAGCTAGTTTTCGGCTTTCATTTTCTAAATTAAAACTCTAACATCTGGTCTGAAAGAATTCTGACATATATATGATTATATATATATAACTTGAGTACACACATGTGTGTATATACATATGTAAATGTATGTTTATATTCAAGCATGATCTTTCCTTGGTCAGCAATCATCTAAGCAGGCTACTTTCTGAGCATCCAGCTGGACATTTTTCTGGAAATTATCCAGTAACTAATTTCTTTATTTATTTTAGAAGATGTGACTTAGCAAATATATAATCCAAATGTTTTCTATGTAATACTTTGCAAACAAAATTTCATTTTGAATTTATGACATTTTGTGTTTCTATGATAAAGTAAGTAAATGTTCTATATCACTTATAGAACCAGCATTCTTAATTTTTATAAAAATTATTTTTGATGATGCTTACATAGTTGATTATGGAGGGAAGGGTCGTGGATTAGGGAAAAGTGGGTGAGACCCTTACTTCCACCAATTTTTAAAAAAATGGATAGAGTGTGGCTTGCCATATTCTCTTTTGGGAAAACTATCTTTTGCAGAGACCACATCATAAAATACGACACGTATCATGAGGAAAAAATCTGTAAGTTTGGGGAAAGATATGTGCTAATCAGTTTTGGAGCTGGTTAAACCAGGGTGTGAATATGTACAGGACCACAGGTTTGTCTTTGGTATTGATCAGAGAAACACAGAATCACAGAATTGATCAATGCCACCAAGGCCTTTTTAGTTTTTCACTATCATAATTTGATTCTTCCAATCTGTCCGTAACATTCCATTCCTCAGGGCATCACAGAACATGATATTTTGGGGGATGGAGTTTAGATCTTGTAGACTCCTTATTCCATTTCCAGACCCTCAAGAATTTCATTTGGTTAAAACTGGTCATTAGTGTTCTACTCCGACTCTGTCCCAAAAATGACTTCAGTTGCTAAACTCAAGTACAAAATTGTGGCCATTCAGAGTAAACACCACCAGAAAACTCCTGTTCATCTTACAGTTTTGCATCATGATTACCAGAAGGAATCAGTATAAAAAATATGGCCTTACTAATCTTACTTATGCACCTCAGAACGCTTATTAAATGGGCAGAATTTTGAATCAGGTGATAACCAATGATACTGTGTCTGAATTGCTTTGACTTTTGATTTTTTGTCTTTTACCCTTATATCCTTTTCCTCAGTTTCCTTATAGACAAACCAAGAAGGCTTATGTAAGTTTGCTAGCTAAGTATCTCTTGGAATCCCTATAAGTTAACTTCTAAACATTTATACAGTGCTTGTAGAAAGCACTAAAAAGAATCATTACTCAAGCAATAAAACATTACAATGTAAACATCAAGGAGGCTTTGGAACAGATGGTAGGAAATCAATTGCGTTTCATTTTATATAAAATATGTGCAAATCATATTTATTGCACAAAGCACAAGTATACATGAAACTTTGTTAATAATACAACATATCATTTTTGCTTAATTTAAAAATATAAAAAACTCAAACACCAGTGTAATTTGAACTCTAAAACTAAAGTCAAGGGAGTACCATTTTCCAACTTACTAATCAACATTCTCCCAAACTCCTCTCCTATTTCCAACTCTCACTCATTTACTTCCTTCTGTAAATCTTTCATAAATTCTGAGAAATGAGATTTGATGAAAAATTTTAAAAGGAAGCCAACCTGACTTTCTCTTCTATTTTCAAGGCTATACTCAAACATGCTCACTACTGGGATCAAAATCCCAGGTCGGCAGTGATTTTCCCTCTATGATAATATGGCATAATAAACATGTATTTGCTCTATGTCCCTGGTTCCTGACGCAGAACTCCCAAGGCCTCTGGGATTTCTCAGTGATGGGGTGAAGGGAGCATTGTTTGCTATTCATTCCTTTCAGCCATACTTGAGTATATGTCAATTAACTGACTCTATAGTTTCAGAAGGACAACAGAGAGAAAAAGGCAGGAATAGAAGTTAGAACTGTACAGAGGAGAGGATCTAGAGATTAAGCACAATCAACAATGGCCACTGATGTAATTTATTATACGTAAAAATACTGAAACTATCCTAAAACCTTGTAATGACAGAGTTTCAATAGCTGTTGGATTGAATACTTGGAGACTTTGAGAAGCCACTCTTTCCATATTCTTGCCCTATTTACCTCTTCTATTTGACTGTTGTTATACAGATTTTAAATAAACTCTTAATCATATCATCATATGTAAAGTGTTTTAAGTTTCATGGATTCTTCTAGTTTACTATAAAACTAAAGGAGGGAATTATGTGACTCCACGATTTGCCACTTTTCATTAGAAGTACAAGAAACCTGAAATTGGCATCTAATACGGGGCCAGTGGGGGGGGGGATAGTGCTGTAGCAGTGAGTTCCTAACTCCCTTCATGTTCCTAATACTTCATGTTACAGTGTTAGAATTACACTGAGTTACAGGATACCGAGCTATTTTAAAAGAACTCTTTGATAGGAATAAAAACTCATTCACATGTGGTGTCAGAAGTGTCTAATGTGTAGAACCAGATCATGGTACCTTCTGTGTCAACACTTTCAGCAATATGTCAGTAGAATTTCTTAATTTTTTTCCCTAGAATAGATTATTAGATCTCTCTTTCAAAGTTAAAAAGTCATCAGATCAGCTTTTATATTTAATTACTTTGTAAATATTAACTGTTTTTTCATATAGATATTCAGCTCTACTCGCTGGCATTCTTTTCCCTCTGTGGTCTTAGAAAGAGTCACTGATGTTATTCCAGGGAAAAATAGCAACATAATAAAAGCTGCCAGCATAATCAACATGCAACAAAGGACAACCAAACTTGAGGCATCTCTTTTTCTTATTCAAAGGCAAATGAACCTGTGGAAAGGATTTAGCAGTTCAGTAGTTCACTGGCAATGCAGGACAATGCATGCAGTAAAGTACAAAAAAAAAAAAACAACAAAAACAAAACAACAACAAAACAGAAAGAAAATCCTCCCCAAATCCTACACATGCTAATTCGGTGAGTAAGATGCCAAAGGCCCAGGATTTCTCTGAAAAATAAACCATGAAGGAAGAAGACTGTGAGGCACAGCTTTCACCTTCTATTTGTGACCCAGAAACCACAGGAAACAGACCTATCTGAGGGAGACAAGGCTTTGGGGTTCCTTTCTCCTTCTTGTAGATGTGTAAGGCTCTAACACTATGGCGTAAAACCCTGATGGGTTCCTCAGTCAGCACTAGGGGAAGGAGGGTGGTCCTACTGTTTGTGTCAGCTCCTGGAACCCAGCAGTGGTTGATGCCCACTGTACCATGGACAGGCTAAGACAAGGCCACATGCTAGTAGCTACAGATGACATGGGATGCTGGTTGCCTTTCTCAAAGCCTGTTTTGTGCATTAAAACAAACAAAAAAACAGGTCTCTCTAGATTCCACCCTTCTTTGGGAGGCACACAGTCATGGGCCTGTGGAGCAGAGTGTCTGTGAGTCACACCAATGACTGCTTTCTCTGCAGCACAGTCTGAGTAGGTCCACAGGCCTCCAAAGGGACATGAAGCTTTCAATCTGTCCTTTACATCTCATTTTGGGGACAGCACCCTCAAGTAGATTTTTCTTCACTTACCTACAGATATCATTTTCTGCCTCCTCTAATCCAAACTGATGGTCAAACGCTAGTTGTATCCTGGTTTTCTCGTGAGAGTGGAGGCGCCACGTCAGAAGCAGGTTCCTGGGGTAGCTGTTCGGGAAGCGAGGACTCTGCAAGTGGCCATTTCCTGTCACCTGGATGGTCTCATCTTTTCGGTACAAGTCTGTGAGGTGATTGCTCTCTGTTAGTAGTCACAACTTGTAGGAATTAGTATGTTGCTCCAATTACAGGAAAGCAAAAAAAGAACAGTTTATCATGCATCACATTTTAAAACATTTATAGACTTGGTTTAAAACTAAAGAAGCAAGTGGTAGCTTCGGGTTAAACAGAAAACATATATTTCTCTGTTATCTATGTCTTCCCAATTTATTCAAAAGACTAGACTTAAGGTCTAATACTTTAGGGGTGATCTAGCAGAATTCCGATAAGCAAAGATTAGTAATTAGTTCAGAAATCAGGTTCATTTTAATTGGAATCAAAATCAGCAAACAGTTTACCTTTTCTCTTTTCTATGTAATATGAACAAACAGTACTTATTGATTTTTTTAAGAAATTGATTAATATACACTGACAGCAGTCTGTCTGCAATGACTAGCATAGGAAGAATCCTATAAACCTTATTGAAAGAATGAGTAAGAAAAAAAAGCAAATGAAAAGACTTTTTAATGATTATTTATTTGATGAGCATTATCAAGCAACATTTTCCTGTGGACAGCTCTGCTGCAAAAATTACACACACACACACACACACACACACACACACACACACACATTTTTCCCTTGATTTTCTTACTTAAATCAGGTCCAATTCTTCCTGTATTTTATTGCATTGTATAATAAAGAATTTCTCTGGTCTCTATCCAAAGTGTTAGACATATCTTTATTATTATTTTTGGTGGTCCCCTGAGACCCTCCCTGAGTATACGGTAACAAACGATTGACTGTGGACACCCTAGGGCATTTCAAAACAAGGGCTGAACATTCCAGAAAGACCGGCTTTTTGATAATGTTACAGGTTTGAAACAAGTGAAATTCGCCCGATATTGCAAACTCCAGAAATGGAGACGTTAGCAATCAAGGCTAAGCATGTTATTCAGAATGCAATCAATCACGTGAGTTTAAGGAAGTTTCAGTCAAACTCCTGGACAGCAAGGCGTGGAGAAGCAATGTGCTTGGTGATACCCAGAGTTATGTCAGGAGACTAATGAGTTCTGAGAGCAAACAGGGGCTTCACTCTGGAGTAGTTCCAGTACTTGCCATATGAGTCCCGTGGTTTGGCTGATCTGTATCTGTTTTCTTTATGCCAAAAGTTTAATCGCAGGCTTAGTGCTTTCCTGAATTCTCTAAATTATTCTATTCTAGCAAATTACCAAATTTAAGGGGCTATGGGAAACTCTGAATTTGTAACCAGTTGGTCAGAACTAAGTAGAAATAGGAAATTCTTCATAGTTTGCACCAGAACTGCATTGCACAATGGGTCCTTTTTCCATCTCTTGTATTTTAGAGTTGGGGCACTTAGTGTCTTCCTTTCCTCCCCATAAGCTGACTTACAGCTGAAGTTTGTTTGTGTTCTCCCACAGAGAGTCTGCTTTGAGGTCTATAATTCAATGTGCCTCTTTGGGGAGGCTATACTTGTGGATGGAAACCACTGTAAACTGAGGCTGTGCAGGGTGGCTGTTAAGTCTCCCAAAATAAGAGATGGGAGATGAACAGCAATTGGCATGTGAAACACAAAAGCCACTCACATGTATTTTTCTGTGTAATGGAATTTAAATTATTTGGGGGGTGGGAGGGGAGTCTCATTCAGTGGTTACCAGCTTATGCAGCCAGCCTACACTGAGAAAGAGAATTCTGGGGAGAGCAATAGGTACTGAAAAGTTGATGAAATCATCACCAGTTCTGTGGCCTTTGAGAATCTAAAAACATTGGCACTGGAACCTTCTCCCTTGTCTTGCTATTAAGCTAAAAATACAGCTGTGTAAACTATTTGTCTACTCCTTTGTCATAAAGGCCTGTTAGGAAATGGGCTACAAGCTTGTTTTCCAGGTTGACTGAGGCGAGCTCTCAAAGATTATTTATCAGAGATTCTGAATGCTGTATGTTGCAGCATTATTAAGACTTCTATCACTTAAGCCATACTTACATAATTTTTGCTGTCATTTGACCTCCAGTAATACTTAATATCCTTCTCTATATTAATATTTTAATCAAAATCAAATTCATTCTAAAAGACTGCATATCAATTATGTAAATGCCATTAGGTCCTGCTCACCATGTATAGAAGGTAATCATAAATCTAAAAGCAAAGCTGTTAAATTTAAAATGTCTGCCTCAGGTATAGCGATCGGCAGTTTTCTCTTTGCCTTCTTTCAGGAGTAACGTTCAATGGTTTTCTGAGGTGTTTTGAGGTGTCCCAGATATTATGTTCAATTCAGATATACTTCAATAATGCTTTAAAAAGGGTTGTTGTCCCCATACACCTGAAAACAGAGTCCACCCATACAGCACATGGGAACACAATATAGAGGGATACAGACTGCAGACTGTGAATATGTGGTTCCCCAGGAGGAGGGAGAACCACAAGGTGGAAAACACAAGGTGTGCTTTTGCAATTGCTGGAGGAAGGCTCTCCTAAGCAGAGTCTCTGTGGGTTTGGGTGAGACATTAATGGGCCACAGGTTTGAAATGCTGATCATGGAAATATCTGAAGACCAGGCAGAAGTGTCTGTACTTGATAAGGGTGGAAACAGAGTAGTTCTAGAATGGATAAATGTGCAACTAAAGATCATCCTTCTTGTACCACAGAGATGAACTGGAAGGATAGTGTTTGCAATGGATTTGTCTCCTAGGAGGTGACTACAACATAATAAGGGTATGATCTGTACAGGCAGACAGCAGGGAGGTCACATCAGGGTAGCAAAATCAAAAGGGACTTTTGAGTAGTTAAGAAAGGAATGCAAAGGGATGCGTCAGAGGCAGCAGCATCATGTGAAGCACAAGAACTCAGCCCAGCACACTGTTGCTGGTACACAGGCTTACTGCACGGAAGAACATGCCAGAACAAACACAAATTCCATTTAGATGTGGTGATGAGGAATTCAAGCGGGTGGGAATGTTAGGAGGCTTGAGGATCAGCAGAGACTTGAACTGGAAAAACAGAATTAATGTGACACCTCCCCACAGTGAGGGAAGCAGCAGCTTAGGCTAATCAGTGAATGCTCAGGAGGACACAGCCCAAGAACGAAGAAGAGTTTCTGGTGGACAGGTCTAGGAAGGGCAGAAGATGAAAGGAGATGTAGGGGAAATCAGGGAAATAAAGGCTGAGTGGGGAGCCACGTCTGAGTCAGGATGCCTGTGAAAGGGATAATTTCAGGGACACAGTGGTCAATGATATTACTTGGGGGACTGTTGCGGTAGTACAGAAAGTTAGCCACCACCTGCAACACTGGCATTCTTGTATCTAAACACTGGTTCAGGTCCCAGCTACTCCACTTACAGGAAAACAGAGGTGCAGGAGAGGTCCCCATGGCCTGGCTCCCTGCCCACCATTCAGGAGGCCTGGATGAGGGTCCTGGCTCATGACTTTGGTCCAGCCTAGGGCTAGCCACTGTGGTCAGTTGAGAAACAGACTACCAAGTGGAAGACTCACTCTCTCCTCCCATCGTCCCCTCCTCCACCCTATAACTGTCTTTCCAATAACTAAATGTTTTTAAAATGTCAGATTTAGAAGAAGGTAAGAAGAAAGCAAATGGAGGGAAAAAACACAGAACTTGTCAGTAACAAAATCAATAAAACCCTTCAAAAATACACTTTTAGAAATTCAAATACAAATGAAATTCCTTTTTTTTTTTTCTTGGAATATCCTTAAAGGCTAAGCTCCTTTGATAGAATTAACTTTGTTTATGACTGAAATGCCAAATACATTTTCAAGAAGGCTGTAGAGGTAGTAGAGAGATGAGTTTTCCATCTAAATGTGTTTTAATTAAGACGGGAATTCGTTTCCGTTTGCCACACTGACGGCAGATCTCTGCTGTACTCTATGAATGCAATATGGAGCTACAGGGGGGAAATTGCAGGTCTTCTGATTTATTTTTCTTAGAAACAAATCATTCTACAGTACACAAAATTAAATATGATAAATAATAAACAATTCTACAGTGATTATTTTGTGCCATGTACTGTTCTAAGAACTTTGCATGTTTCATTTTTAGTGTCTAATGGTTTTATATACTCATATATGACATGTGGGATGTGAATGTTTATACGTGACCATCCGTTTGGACTTACAACAACTCACTGAGATGGGAGTTATTGTCATCACTTGATACATGAAGATTCTGGGGAACAGAGAGCTCAAACCACTGGCACAAAAATCACAGAGTTAGTCAGAGTATAAAGTTGGCTACTGGTTGCAGTTGGCTACTGTCTAACTGTTGTGCCATAGAAGATGATTTCCGTGCTTAGTCTGAAATTTGCTATATCAATGTTAGGTTTTGCTATCTGTAATCTACTTTGACTTTTAAATTCCACTCTTTGCATATACCTCATAGCTTCATGCCAATTCACTTTTTTTTTTTAAGATTTATTTTTATTATTTTTTTTATTGGAAAGGCGGATATACAGAGAGGAGAGACAGAGAGGAAGATCTTCCGTCCGATGATTCACTCCCCAAGTGAGCACAATGGCTGATACTATGCCATTCCGAAGCCAGGAGCCTCTTCTGGGTCTCCCACGCGGGTGCAGGGTCCCAAAGCTTTGGGCCGTCCTCGACTGCTCTCCCGGGCCACAGGCAGGGAGCTGGAAGGGAAGCGGGGCTGCCGGGATAGAACCGGCGCCCATATGGGATCCCGGGCGTGCAAGGCGAGGACCTTACCCACTGCGCCACCGCGCTGGGCCCCAATTCACTTATTTTTAAAAGAAGAGTTGCAGTGAATTACAGATGCAAAGCATACACTGTCCAATTAACCTGAGATTATAACCAAAATGTCACGTACACAGCCATATTCCTGAACTTCAGTATTCCAATGTCAGCTAACACTTACGGAATAATTGCTATGTTCCAGGTACTCTAACAATTGGTTTAAAGGTACTATATCATTTCATCTTCACAATGCTAGGCAATCGACAACATCTCTGCCGCACACAGATTTCAGAGTTTAAGAAACTTATGACCACAAGAAA